CCCCAAAACCCCAAAACCCCAAAACCCCTTATATATTTTAACAGGTTGAAGGGTTTAATGGCATTATTAGTGTTTAAGCTTGGAATAGTAGGGTTGAGAGGAGGAGAGGGATGAGACTGAGGGATTTAATGAGGGTTGAGTCTTTGGAGAGGTCAAAAAAGTTAAGCTTGAGATGAGTTTTGATTGAAAGTTTGCAATTTAAATTAGTAAGAGTATAATATGTTTTTTAAGAAATAGAATTTTGATATTGGTTTTAGGTTGTCTCATCTTAACTTCTATCTTAGAATAATGTTGTTTAGATACTAATAAACTTTTATTTAACTTGGAAATCAGATCTTTCCTCATCATATCTCAGTCAAAATAAATTGATATAGCTTCTCCATCTCAACTAAATGAAACTTACTATTCAAAGTTTCCGTCACGACTATATAGCATAACTATCAAAGTAAAAACATGAAAATTTAAGCAAATTCTGCTATTAGAAAGAGTATGGTTATTATCCATCCTAAACTTCATACTAAAAATATCTAGAACACATATAGATTTTGTCTGATAGCCTATTCCACAGTACTCACCAGAATTCTTTTGCTAATATTATGCACATTTTCTACATGGATATTATTACTTGCAAATAATTTATATCGTTAAAAAGTTTCGGACTTTACTACATGTCTCCAATTCTTCTCCAGTTCTACTTAAGAAAACATGGGAGATAAGGTATAGTAAATTTTCACTAAAAACGTTTCCAAAACTCGACATTCTTCCTAATTTATGTTAATTTTTATTAAAGATTTTGTTAAGTTATTAAACCTAATAAACTAAGTTTTTCTGGAGAATTTTAGAATTCGTTAACACTTTTGTTGCACTTTGGGTCATGATTATTTGGGGTTAAAATACTTAAGCACACTATTGTCTATCGAGATGGTTCAAGATGAGCTCCACATCGAGCCCACCACTGATAAAAATTATTTGAGTATTATAGTCAGGGCTTATTTGGAGAACAAGAGGTGCATTTAAGATAATAATTATGATTAGAGATAGGAAGGATTAGTAATGTGGCTGAGGGCTCCGGATCATATTATAGTTGTCAGTGAAGTAATTCGGCTTCTTGAATATCTCAATCAGTCGTGAGTCATTCCCAATCTTGTTTTTCTGTCTAAACATATCCATTTTGGAGTAATCTTTGCTCCTGAGGGGAGTGGAGCTCTTTGATTTTAAGAAATTTACATTTTGGTGTGTGTTTTGGGGGAGTGAAGAGTCACTTTGTTTATTCCAACTCTGAAGTTGAAGGTTTCCAAACCTAGCAAGACTTCCAGTGCTGTTCTTAAAGCTGAATGAGCTTGAGAGAGAATTTTTCTGTGAAAATTTCATGTGAGAAGTACTTCCTTTCGTGCTATTCTTTGAAAGAGGTGGTTTCATACTAGATGCTTAGACCTTTAAAACCTACTGTGGAAGAGAGTTCAGCTTATGAAAAACTGGAGCTGACTTCTTTTCTTTGCCCTCTATATTCAATGGATTGGGAATCGTGGCTTCATCCTTGTTGTTAAGCTTGATCACCTAAGGTTTATTGATGAAGTTTTACCTTTCAATCAGAATTGATTTCGCCATTTTGCGAATAAGAGAAAATAGTGTTGTTTCTTGAAAAGGAAATTGTCTTCTTGTTATAAATTTTTCCCATTGAATGTTTGAGGGATGACTTCTTGACAAAGGGAGCATTTCTCTCGTAAACACTCAGCTTACTGCTCTTCTTATTTGGTCCTAAGAGTATAGAATCTTTTTTGATGAATTAGCAGTTGCACTTCGTCTCAGCCTTCCAGTATTACTTTCCTCAGCAGTGTGATGTTGATCAGCTAGTTTTACGCTGGTATCTGACTCCTGAGCTCTGGGTGCAACTTTGTGTTTAATTTTGCGCTTTTGATTCGATACAAATTGAATAATCGCTTGCTTTGAATTTCGACGATTAGTTCTCCGTAAATATTTGCCATCTTTAGGCTTCATCTTTGCAAACTCATAACTCTTGGATGGATCGATGGTCATTGAGTACTCTTTATCGTTCACAGCTTTATTGATCATATAAGTCTTATATGTTGGCATGAATATGGAATTTTTGAGGTCATTCAACTTTGATGACTTTGTCTGAGGGGTGTGGGATGGGTCTCTTCGCTTAGGAGCCTCAAGTTTGAGCCCTACTGTCCGCCTTCGAGACGACTTTTTGCTAAATTATAACCACTTTTGGCTTACTTGATCCTTGGCAGGACGAAAAGTGGGGGAATTTTAGGACTACAAGTTAGTCAAAGAGTACTTTTCTTTCACTTTTTGGATACTGAATGTAATACTATTTGCTTCTGATAATGCATCCTAAAAGGTTTGGGAAAGGAATTACCTCTTCGCTGAAAAGCTCTTCTTCGAATTCAGTGAGGTTCAGCTGGCTAATATCTTCTATAACAATTTGTTAAGTTTGTTATGCACATGTTGAATTTGCTCATCCTTCAAAGTTTCATAATATTTGGATATTTCAGGAAGTGAAGCAAGATACCTCCGAATAGCTTAAAAATATGTCTTAAATTTACTGAACTCAGCAAAACTAAAGGACGAAGGTGGAGAGCACATACTTTCTGTTTCACAGTTGTCAAAGGTTTTTGATGTGTTGAGACTGGTCTTCTTGCTTTTTCCCGTTTTGTTAAATTGTTTCAGATCTGATATAAATTTTTCATTTTGAGCCATTAGTGATCTTCTTTTAGGCCCTTGAGGAGGTTTTTGAGGGCTTACTATATTCAAATTATCAATTTTCAATTCAAAGATTTTCATGGAGAATTAGGTTTTTGTCCTCAGATCATGAATGAACAAGAGAAATTTCTGAATTTTCCAAAAATTTTAAACCTATTTAAAGAGCACAATTGGTAGCAAACTTGAAACTATGAGAAATCAAGAAGTCTGGATGATCTAAAATACTCCAGAAACATTCTTTTCAAAATCTCAGGTTAGGTGAAAAGTAGTGTATAATATTATCAAATTTTACCAAATTCTCCTTAGACTAGCTATTTTATGAAATTAGCTCTTTTAATAGTGACAAATAGTCTCTGTGATACTTCCCAGATTGATATCATCGAAGTTTCATACTTACAATTATTGCTTTTGTCAAAGAACCAGTCAGTCATATTTATTATTATACAACAACAAGCGATTCAAGTAATTAAATTTGCAAAGGGGTTTTGGGGTTTTGGGGTTTTGGGG